AAAAAAAAAAACAAACCAAGAGGAAAAGAATCTGTACTGGGATGTTAAAAACAAACTCAGGAAGCTGGGTATGTTGGTCCCTGCCTGTATTCCTAACCCTTGGGTGGCCGAGACCAGAAAATCCTAAGTTTGAGCCCAGCCTGGGCTATATAGGGAGTTCAAAGCCACCCTAGATTACATAAGGAGACCCAGCCTCTAAAACAAACAAAACCACAAAACCCAGAAACCTGTGCAAAGGTGAAGGAATATTTCTGTGCAGCAGGGCAAGTGAATTACACCAGTGTCAGAACTCAGGTTGTCTGATGTCAAACCCAGGAGTTTTCCACTCCCCCAGAGAAATCACAGGCCTCCCCTGATCCTCTGAAGGTCTCAGTGCTACAAGGGAAGGCTCCCTGAAAGAACCGTCCCTTGGAACTCAGCAGGAAGCAGAGGCAGGCAGCAGGGCCAGGTCAGGCTCTGGGAACAAATACCCACTGTTGCTAGGAAGAAAGGGACAGGCCAAGGCAGAGTTGCTTATGGTCCAGCAACAGCTGAACACCACTGATGAGCGCATGCAAAAGGTCAATGACCCTACTGTTCAGGCAGCGTGGTAAAAGACACTTGTAGATTTTATAACATTTTCAGCTGAGCCCTGTGGATATGGGAAGAGACAGCTGGGAAGTGAGGATCTTCCCTATGACCTGGATTGTAGAGGCAAAGAGAGGAGGGACATAAATAATTCTGGGGTTTTTTTTCTCTGGCTACCTGCTAAAGACAAGAGAGCACAGTGCTTCAGTTCACTGCTATCCCTGTATCTTTTCTCTCAAAACACTTGCTCAATCAGACAAAAGAAGTCACTCTTTGCTAGGGTTTCTATTGTATATAGAGATCAAAAAGCCCCAAGAGAACTATGAATAAGCTCAGAGCTCAGACTGTACCACAGAAGTCTGTCCACTGGAAAATCTTCTTTCAAAAAATATCTCAAGAGCAATGTATAGAATCTCAGAATAAGTTTATAAAAAATCCTCCTCAACGAAGCACTCACAGAAAAGTACATTTTTTTCTCTCACTACACCCAGGTAACAAATGAACCTCAAGCTCCTATAGAATATGGCTATTTAATTACTGATACTGTTTTCTTTCTCCACTCTCAGAGACAGGTGCAAACAGAACTGGTGCAGTACTCTACAAATCTCCATGACACTTCATCATGAGTTTTTCCACAGGGCTCACAGCCTGCTCTCATGTCTCTAAGCCACTTGCCTAGTTGGTCTTTTAGAAAACTACCACAAGTATTGTCTGCTGCATCTGCACTGGAATGCTAAAAGGTTTTCAGGGGCCAAATGTGCTTGTGATTTATTCTTTTCTTACAAAAGAATTTAATCAGCTGTGATGTCATTCTGACAGCCTCTTCCTGACAGGGAGCCCAAGTTCTGACTACACAGATGGGCAGGGAAAGCTTCTATTTGGGGTTTTCAAGGCTCACATTCAAAAGTAAATGTAACCAGACTCTAAACCGTATTATGCAATCAAAATGAATAAAAATAACTTCAAAATTTTTCCATAGACTCCCCCCACACACACACACCTTTTTTTTGGTGGGGAGAATATACCCTACAAAAACTCCTCAAAATTTTTACGGCATTAGGAGCAAATCATCTCCCCAGTCCTGCTTTTAAAAAAGGCCAGATGCTAAAAAGAGCAAGGACAGTGATACACCCTATTTGGTGATCCCCCCTCCATCCCACTCCACCTCTGTGAGCCATCTGTGGTGGATTAGATTATTCAGCAAATATTCACTTCCTCCCCCAGCATGCCCAAGGGAGGGCTTACAGTCAGCCTTCTATATCCTTGAGTTAGACATCCTCAGATGCAGTAAAGATAAAAAAAATTTGGAGGCTGAAAATATTTTGGGGAAAAAAAGAATTGTCTGTACTAAACATGCACATTTTTCATTGTTGTTATTCCCTAAATGATACAGTACAGTTACATAGCATTTGGACTGTATTACATACAATCTAAAAATGATTTGAGTTTGTTAAGAAATTGTTTTATTTTTTTCTTAAAAGAGTGTTTTTATATTTTCTTTATTGACACCTACTGGTATTTCATTAATTTTTTTTAAATGGACATACAATCCAAAAGAAAAAGTAGCCGGGTGTGGTGGTGCACGCCTGTAATCCCAGCACTCGCGAGGCTGAGGCAGGAGGACCGCTGCGAGTTTTGAGACCAGCCTGGGCTACGAAGTGAGCTCAAGGCCTGCCTGAAATGCATAGCAAGACCCTGTCTCAAAAAGGCAAAAAAAAAAAAAGTATACAGGAGGACATGTGTAGGTTACATGTAAACGCTACACTTTATGCACACTTGAGCACCGGCAGATGTCATGGAACCAATGTCCTGAAGATATCAAGGGCTGCTGTACTTTTCTCCAGTGATGTTTGGGATTGTCCTTGTGACTGCCCGGCCTCATGCAGGGCACACTCCACTACCCACCCTAGCCTTTGGTCGATGTGACCTTAGCGACATGCTATAGGCAGACACTTGATCTATGTTTGCACATTTGGCCTTGCCTTCTTGTACTTCTGCTGTTGTTTTGAGAAGAGCTGACCTTGTGCAGCCTCTGCCCCTCAGCCTGAGCCCCAGAATAAAATATGCAAACAAGAATGCTCCCTGCTGATCTACATACCTGCACCTTGAAGCAGAGCTCTAAACTGAATTTGGAGGAGATGTGCTATGTAGAATTGCGGTAGCAACTTGTTTTAAAATAATGGTAATGCTGGCTCAGAAGATGCAATGAAGATGAACTAAGGCAGCCCCCAGGAACCCCTATCTGCAGCTCTTAGGACTAAATGTGTTCAGAATTCAGAATTTTTGAAGGTTATATAGTGCAAATATCATGTTATACACAGCTCCCACTGGGTCTCAGAATCACAAAATGAAACATTATGATTTCTACGAAATAAGTCTACATATAGGTTCGTGTTAGATTTCTTCAAACTTCACAGTTTGGGGACTTTTGGGTTTCATAATTGTGGGTATGGGACAATGGTCCTGTATTTCAAACTCTTTTTCTTTCAGATAGGGTCTTGTTATATTGTCCAGGCTGGCCTCAAACTGAGCTGAAGTGATGCTCCTGCCTCAACCTCCGGAGCAGCTGGGATTTCAGGCACAGTCACCATGCCTAACTAATTCTCAATTATGAAGACTTATTCCCAAAAGATCATTTAATTTCAGTAATTCTGTAATAACAATACAATTACCCCGGGTCATCGTCTCAAATCCTCTGTGGAAATGAATAGAATATAACTAACTTTTAACAAAAAAATGTTTACTCACATCTAATTAATTTGTAATCCTCTGGATGTACCCTGCACTGCCTGAATTCTTTTGCTTTGGATAATTTGTTTTTGTTTTTCTTTTTTTGAGACGGGGGTCTCACTATGCAGTTTAGGCTGGCCTTGAGCTCACTAATGTAGCCCAGGTTGGCCTCGAACTCACAGCAATCCTCCTGCCTCAGCCTCCTGAGTGCTGGGGCTACACGTGTGCGCCACCACGCCCAGCTGCTCTGGATCAATTTAAACAAGAAACTTTATAAGCCATCGTGAAAACCAAACATTAATACTCTTTAATCAGCAAACACTCATTGGGTTTCTTCCACATGAGGAGACACTGTGATAGATGCTGGGGCTACTACGGTATCAGATATACTTCTGTTTATCCGACGAGCTTACTACCTAGAGAGGAAGACAAGTAAATTTTTAAATTGAGTAAATCGGCTGCGTGTTGCAATAAAA